TCAGGTAATCCTTTACTCTCTATTACAAACGGAAAAATATTTTAATAGTTGTTTTTATCCGTCCTGTTGCGATAGAGGAACCGTCAAGAAGAATCATTGTTCCTTATATAACTTGTATCTTGGAGACATTTTGATAGGTCTGTCTACTGGTACCAGTATTATCCAAAAGATCTACTCGCCCGAACGTGACTATCTTTTTTTCGTTTCTTCAAACTTTGTTGATATGTTTTAAGGGGTAGTCAAGGGTTTATTTCAAGGATTCAAAGACTTAAATCCGGCAAAATTCGTTTTTCAAATTCTAATCATCCACAATCACTAATAACTCCAAACACAATGCGAGTGTCATGAGGTGTGCAATTTGAAAATATGTGGAATGTAATCTGCGTTGAAAATCGGGAAACTGTGCAATATTTTATCACAGAAACTTATTTAATCATGCTAATTAGCTAAATGTGATCAACGCTGTAAGAGAAATTGTACGGGATTTATATATTCTTTAGAGTAAATGCAAAGGCCCCTCATCTCCAAATACAAAAATCTGAGTAACTTTTTTTTATCAAACTTCAAAGCTATGAATCTATTGAACAACTGGGATAGGGATAAAACACCTTAAAAATCAGAACTAGTTGATATGTCCAGTTCGTTGCAGCGGTTAATTGGTTATTGCAAACAATCGTCCGGTTTTTGCCGAAAAGTGCATAGTGCAAAGTGCAAATATGAAATACTAGCCAAAAGTTAAAGCCTTTGTAATTTTTTCTTTACACCGAAGCAGCCGCTCAGGCAGAATCCTAAATGCCACGACACCGCGGCTGTTATGAGAATCCCAAAGAAACTTTGTTAATCCGATTTTTGAACTGCCTAAAGTTAATAGAACTGGGGAGAGCCTGCTCTTGTGAATTGTTCCACACCCTAGGTACAAAAGATCGGTCGTATCGGCCAGTTCTGGATGTACGAAGTTCGATAAGTTTAGGATGGGAGGCCGAAGTCTGCCAGGGACGTCGCGCGGCGGCATCATGGAGGAGAGCTCTGAGGAGCAAAACTTGTTGGTGTAGTGGTAGAAGAGAGCTAGATCGCCAACGGCCCGCCGGTGTGAAAGGGTCACGAGACTTTCTGTTAGAGAAAAGTCATCGATCAGTCGGACAGCCCTCCTCTGGACAGCATCGAGCATGGATAATGTAGTCGCCAGCACCCCAAACGTGTGAGCAATACTCGAGGCTAGGTCTTATCTGGGCCTTGTATAGAGTGAAGAGGTCATGTGGAGAAAAGTACTTCTTAGCCCTAAACAAGTAGCCTAGCTTTTTCCCAACAGCTGCTGCTATTGACGAGATGTTTTCGTGCCAGCAAGTCCTCGGAGATCTCGACTTCGACCAGGCGAAATGAACGACTCTTTGTCAGAACTCGAAACTGGATGAGTGCTAGGACGCTATTTGTTCGATAAGGTACAGTCTGTGTTTTGGAAGCATTAAACGGTACAAGATTGTTATGTCCCCAAGCAGTGATAACCCTCAGGACTCTCGTCAGAAAGGAATTCGCTGCTAGTCTTCTTTTTTTCCAGCTCCCTGGTTTAAGCTCTTTCGCTGTATGAGGGATCCTCCATCCCAGTGTGGATAATTTCGGTTATCAATAAACAGACTGCCGACTCATCCGCGTCAGCGAAACAAACATCTCTTCAAGGAAAGGCGGAGAAGTCTCTGAGCTCCTCCCAGTCGGCATGCCCATAATGCCAAATTTTGCAGCCTGGGCGAGTTTCTGATGCCACAGCGGGCTCGGACTGAAACCTAACCTGCACAACACCGTGGTCTGAGTTACCCAGGGGAGACAGGCAGCAGTGTGTGTGACGAAATACGGGGGAAAAAGTAGGACTCATCACCAGCTGGGTCAGTCTTTGGGTACTAGCGAACGCTTCCACTGCACGACCTGCTGGAGAACTACCTCTGAAGCGTAGTGAAACATTAAAAAATCTACAAAACTGCTCAAGCTATCCAGAGACGTAATTGCTGCAACAAGTTAGGCATACAGGGCGAGGTTTTAGTATGTAATTGGACTCCACTACTATAAAGCAGAATAAAATATGTTATTGAAAAATGTGCACTATACGCTTCCTAGCTTGTGGAGAACCCTGTACATGTATAATTTATAATTTTATAAAATGGTTCCCTCCATTTAATTTTTGCCGAGCTAGGGAAAGGGGGGACACCACTTGCCCCGACCCCCTCCCTGGGTACGCCATTGGTATGGATTCTTTTCTCCTACGTGTTAAAATCTACAACGTATAGTTGGACCAGCGAAAGATTGCAAGCCGAAAGAATGCGGACAAAAAATTGCGAAGTTGTCAGATGTTCTACATAAAATGCGGTCCATACATATTAACATATTTAAGATATAGAATTGTTCCGCTGAATTTGGCAATGTAGCTGGAAAACCCAGGCCGCAGGTAAACATCCGGTCGCTGATTGGTCCAAAACTCTTATCTTATCTGAAACTAGAATAACGTGCCGATGGCACGGTCATTTATAAACCTACTCCCATAGGCGTAGGCAGTTGGCAAATACTTTGAAAATATAATTTACTGTTTAGTGGTGATAATGGAATTCAAGCATGGGAAAGTTATTCACAGCCAGGCAAGGGAAATAATAGCAAACGTGATACGTGCTTGCGATGCAGAAGCGGCTAACAATACTTTCGTTTATCCACTGGTAGCTAGAAATGCAAGGGCGGCATATTATACGGGTGTTAGTGAACGAACTATAAGTAAAATTAGAAAAGAAGATAAAGACAGGCAAAATGCAACCTCCACACAGCCTTTAGCTTCTCCCGGAAAAAAGAGATCACGCCCTTCTGTGATCCAAAAAATTGATGGAGTCGATTTTTCCATTATTCGGAGAATGATAGAAAAATTTTACTGTGATTTTAAAGTGGTACCTACTTGTAGTAAACTTCTAATCAAACTGAAGGAAGAAATGGAATTTCCATTTGGTAAAGAATCGTTGAGGCTGCTTTTAAAAGCAAAAGGATTTTACTGGCGTAAATGCCACAACAAAAGGAAATTACTAATGGAAAGACCCAGTATTTTACATTGGCGATACAAGTATCTTAGGTCTATTAAAAAGTTCCGGGAAGAAGGAAGGCATATTATTTATTTGGACGAAACTTGGGTTGATAATGACCTCACTTTCAAGAAATGCTGGCAAAGCGAAGAAATTATGGGTGTCCTGAGCAATATAAGTTCTACAGGTAATAAAGTTTCTTTCACCTCGATTTTGCTTATTATACATTTTTCTCAATTTTGGAATATTCTTAATAAGTGCTCATTTAATTTGTCTAATTGAATACATAATCCCTTGCAAGTATTTTTTTCTCAAAAATATGTTTTTTATACATAGTGATTCAAAAAGGTGTTGGCAAACTTAAAATAACACTAAAATGAGGCTATTTATTCATTTCCAGGACGACTTATAATTGTTCATGCGGGTTCGCAAGATGGTTTTGTTCCTGGAGCCTGTCTCATTTTCAAGGCTGGCTGTGCCACTGGTGATTATCACGGTCAAATGAACCAAGAAAATTTCACGAAGTGGCTTACTGAAAAACTATTTCCTAACATTCCTCCTAATAGTATTATAATAATGGATAATGCACCTTACCATTCAGCTTTGGAAGACAAGCCTCCAACTAGATCTTCTCTAAAAAGAGACATCATCACGTGGTTGAGCAAAAAAGGTATAGAGCATGATCCTAATGCTAAAAAAATGGAGCTTTATGAAATAGCTTGTCTACATAGGCCACCATCTGATGAGAAAAATTATAAGATAGATAATTTAATAAGAAGTTTCGGACACACCCCACTTCGAACGCCACCCTATATGTGTCAGTTTAATCCCATAGAGATGATTTGGGCACAAGTAAAATTTTTCATTAGAAGCCATAATACAAGCGGCGAATTTACTATAAAAAAACTAGATGAAATTTCTAATAAGGCCATCGCTTCAGTAAGTGCCAGTGACTGGCAAAAGGTTATTGGACATGTTATAAAAATTGAAGATGAATATTGGGAAAAAGACAGTCTCATTCAAGAAATACAGGAAGAAATAATAATCAACATAGGAGGTGAAAGTGATAGCAATGACAGTTCCTCAGACAGTGATCATGACTCTAATCAGGATTGAAACTATACTAGATTGGCTACCTTTTAGAATTTTTAGATATTCATTTATTATACTATTGGTTTGTGGCTTTTAGTATCTCAGTAGAAAGTCTAATTCTATGTGTTGTTTATGGGTTATTTCATCAAGAAATTACTTTTTGTTTTCCTATATTTTTCTATTCAGTCAGATATTTTTGACTTGTTGTATTCTATTTTAGAAGAATGCATAATTTGTTTTGCTGTTCAATCATAATGCGTACATAGGAATATTACTTGTTGCCTAAAAAATATATTTATTTTGTTCTCAATATTCAGTGTTTGTGTATATTTATTTCTTATAATGTATGTTTGGTATCACGTCATTATGAATCGCAAAAAAATATTAATACTACCAGTTGTAATAAAATATAAATTCAATTAATAATTCAAGTCTCTCCGATCTCCGCCTATGACTCCATATAAAATCGTCTAATGGTAAGGTTTTTTCATCGCATTTCCCCCTTTCGTCCCTAGCAATCTTTGGCTGGTCGATCAATACTTAACCCGTAACCACAGACGGCCAATCAATTGAACATTACCACAGACGTGGCGTCAAAATTTCTCCTATAATGAAAGACATGGAAAACATGTTTGAAAAATAAAAACAGGTCTACCTCTATCTTATATTACTTAAATAGGATCTTTTTTAATATCGTTTTAAATAAAAATTTTCTTCAGTAAAAAGCAACCAAGTGTTAAAGAAATATATTTATTGCACAAAATTTTCGTGAATATTTACAATAACATTTTTGGTAACTTTTTAACATAAAAAAATGAACTTGCTAAGAACTTTTCATACAAAACTCGTTAAAAACATAAAACAGAATACTTATATAGATTAGAAATTAACGTGAAAGTAATATTCTGGAAACGTGCAGTAGGTTTTCCCAAGTTATTTTTTCATTTTGCACAGTCCACACAAACCATTTGAAAAGTTTTTCCTGTAGAAGCGCCGTTCGATGTCTCATCTTCTTCAGTAGAAAGCCTTTCACAATCTCTGTCCATATCTTGTTCCGAACGCTCTCATGATCACTGTAAATGAATTCGGTATCTGAATCAATATCACTGTCGTTTTCATTTTCCTCATCCACCTCAGCCGTACATTTCAGCAAAGTTTCTTCGTAGTCCAAATCACTATATCTAACTTTCTTTGAGGGACCAGCTTTGCTAACAAAATCCATCATAAAAACCTAAAATAAACCGAGCAGGTTCATGAAATACAGAAACAAGAATGTAACACTATCACAGACCTGTAGCCTTTTTGACTCCGTCGGAAATTCAAGTCGTAACGAAATGTTAATAACGTACACAAACAACGCAACTGTCTCAGTGCTAGTTCAATACTACTCGATGAAAAGGTACCTCTACGCCTGTTCAGATAGACTGGGGAGAAAATGGGAAATTCCCCACGACGTACTAGCAAGGAGTCAAATTGACTCCGCGTCTGTCGTTACGGGTTAACTAAAAAAAAGACCAAAGCCATTTCCTATAGGGTCTTATAGTTTCCGATTCCAAAATTAGTTAAATGTTCAAATCTTTTCGGAAAAGGCTGGCAAGGCAGTAATTTTTTCCGCATCTGTGGTTTTACGGATCGGTCAGGACATTGTTGTGGTTAATCAATTTCATCTACTAGTACCACCTTGTTCCTCGACATATTCTAGAAAAATCCTTTTGCATCGTTCCTTACTAAACTATTTTAGCATTTTGTAAACAAATAATGTATACCAATTTAATTAATAACCTAGAATTCCTAATAGTCACTTCATTTTTCAAATCATTTATGAGATACCGCGCCAACCTCGAGTCACGTAATGCATTTTGCATAAAAGTGAAAACCAGAAATTGTTTGTGGTCTGCAATCAGAATATTCTGAATATGCATTGAACATAATAGATAGAGATAGAAATTTGTCTATAAAGTCACAAGATCATGTATTTAGATATATACCATCTTTGTACACTGAAACATTTACGAAGGCAAAACCTAAGTACCGAGGTACTATCACGCCTGTCCTTATTTATGGCTCTTGTACTCAATGTACAATGAGCCAGCTCATGTGATGTTACCACTCCTGTTAAAAAGATATTTGATTGGACCGATTTTTGAGCTGCCTAATGTTAATAGAACTATGTGTTCCACAATCTCCACCCTCTAGGAACAAAGTACCTATCGTACCGGAGAGTTCTCGATGTACAAAGTCCGACAGAATGTGGCGCAGAATCATGGAAGAAAGTATATTGGAGCAAGGTTTGTTAGCATATTCGGTAGAAGAGACAAATCAGCGACCGCCCGTCGGCGTGAGAGATGCTTGAGACCGTCTGTTAGGGCAGTGTCACCGATCAGTCGAACAGCTCTCCTCTGAAGAGCAACAGCATCATCATCATTGGGAACGTTCATTTAACGTAAAGCGATGTAGCGGCGCTGAATAGCAGTAACCATGGGCTAGCATTGTCAGATGACGGCAGTTTTCACTTGGCTGTCAGATTTGATAGTATGTTGGTTAATACTGGTAAAGGTATTCTACGGCTACTGCTATTCAAGATAAAGCGCTGCAGCGCTGGACCGCTTTATGTTACCTGAACGATCCCAACGTGTCATAAGAATGCTGAAACTGTATCTTGGATACGGAAATATTGCTAAAATATACTATTGTATAGTGCCAGAATTACTGTGTACTTATATTTTTTTCGTAGATACCTGAGAAACCACCATTATTGTCCGCAATTGGCCAGTGAAAAATAGCATTGATAAACGTATTCTACCTGAAGATAGCCAGCATAATGCTATATCCCCGTGTTGAAAGATTATTCGAGATAAATGACATACCATAACACATCTGTGGCAAATTCTCATAGAGGTATCTTATTACATATCTTTATATCGAATAATTTTTTGAACGCGGGGATATAGCGTTAGGTTGGCTATTACCAGGTAGAATACGTTAATCAGTGAACATAGATTTTCTCTCCGTAGGTAAACAATGAATGTGTGTGTAACACGTGTTCATAAACAAATCTCAAAGAAAATATCCACATTGTGTTTAAAACATGTTGGAAAAATAATTGTGTTGAAACATTAGAAAACGGTGTCAAGCGGTACTGTGGGGATTAAAATTCTCTTCCTTATCTTTCAAACTTCGAATACAACTTTGAGACAACTTCATTGTCCAAAATAGCATTATTTTGGAAATAACTTACCCTTAGATTTTCAACCTGTTAATTTTACAAAATACCATGTTGTGTCCAGTCAAAGATGTGTGTTTGTGGGAATGGGAAAGGTTCTTAGCTGTAGTATCTGTAAAAATAAAACGCGAGAGGAATGATTAAACTTAAGGAAATGTGTCCGCTATAAATGTGTTTTAGCCTCAGATTAGTAGTAGAGTATCACAGGAGATGGGTAACAGTTGTATTATTTATTCTGAACCACATATTTGCTTATGGTATTGTAGAGTATTATAAATTATTAACGATTGTTTACTTTTTCGATCGCAGCCAGTTACGCCTACCATGCTTAGACAAATCAGACTTTAAAATGATCACCCTTTGTGTGCCTCAGTGTGTGTTATACAGAGGGATGCGTAATGAATGTTCCAAAAAGAAATCCTAGGCCAAACTCGTGAGAATGATTACATCGAACCAAATATGCCTTAGAAGAATGACGCTCTTTAATAAAATACAACTACCATTTTTAATTTTCAAAATATCTACAACTCAAGCTGTAATAGCAGCATGTCCAATGTGTATTTGGAGTTTCCGAGGGAGAGGAACACGGCCATATTGTATTTTTTAACATAGTATGTACAGTGCACCAAGTGCATAAAACATATATACAGTTGGTAGTGGATCAGCGGAAGTCAGGTGATAGAGGGCTTCAAAACCTATATGTGTGGTCCGAAATTTTATAGTTCAGGAGATATTTGCAATTTTGTGAACTTTCAAACGCAATTACAACCATTAGGTTTAGGGCTGTGATTTTTTTCTGAGATGAGCTAAATAGTTAGTTTTAGCAATCTTTATGTCACTTTTTAACAGAGCTTATTAGAAATCAATGGAAAAAATCTTAATTTTTTTTGTGAAAAATATCTTCCATCCCTCAACTTTAGAGGGCGGTAAAAAAATTGAGGTTATACCTACAAGTACAGAACCTATCGTGTTTAGCCGCTCTTTATGGTGATTTACCGACAAAGATGGAAGATAATTTAATTTAACTAACTTTCAGAGAACATGTGCAAATGGCCTCCATTATTTTGTATACACAAACGACACCTTCTAATAGTCTAATAGTCCTTTTGTCTTTGAAATGAATTTTCGTTTTCCATAATTTTTGCTTCATCAATTTTCTGGCGCAGCTGGTTGACATTTGTATATTCAGATGTATAGATTATCTTCTTATAAAAACCCCCATATAAAAAAATCTAGAGGATTTGAATCGGGTGACCTTGGAGGCCATCGTATGTGTCCACCTCTGCCTATCCAACGCCGAGGAAAGGCACTGTCTAAGTAATGCAGTACATGCCGTGTAAAGTGGCATGGGGCACCATCGCATTGAAAATACATGCGGCTTCGAACGTCCAATGGTACATCCTCTAGCAGCTCATGCAAACTGCTTTGTGTAAAAGCCGGATATGACTGACCATTCAACCTGGTGGGCAATTCATATGGTCCAATTAATTTTTTGTTGAGTACTCTAGCCCATAAATTAACGCCGAACTGACGTTGAAAGCTGTGTCGGCGAATAGCGTGTGGATTTTCCATGCTCCATGAATGGAAATTGTGCATGTTGAATATTCCATTTTGGTTAAAGTTGGACTCATCTGTCCATAAGATGCTGTCGAAAAAAGTTTCATCCTCTCACCTCTAACTTCACCTTCTCAACATATTCTCACAAAATTCAATCCGTTGTTCATAGTCGCTTGGAAGCAATTCTTGTACTTTTTGTACTTGATAAGGATACATGTTCTCCGAGCGGAGTAGTGTGTGCACTGAAGTATGGGATATGTTTCTGCTTCGGGCAACGGCTCTGGTGCTTATAGAGGGATCCCTGTCGGCTGCTTCTATTATATATTCTATTTTTTCTGGGCGTATCCTCGGCGCTCCTAGCTGAGATGAGTGTGCCTAGTATGCGGCCCTCCATACACGCATTATGGACGCGTAGAAAAACGCGGTAGTCGGGATATACCGCCGGTTGTGGTCCACCTCTTCTAACCACATACTCCCGATACATGCGAGCAGCTGCTCGAGCATTTCCTAAGGCAGCACTATAATAGTAATGCATTTCTGCATAATCTCGCGGAGAATATGACATGATTCTATTCAGACGCCAAACGTTAGACATAAATTCCGCGCTGGACCAATGCCTGACTTAGTAATTTCGGTTGGACCGAAGATTGAACGCTCCGGCACATGGAATGCCGAGTTGAATGCCCAAGCTCACTAAGTTGATTTGGCTATTTTCGTAAAAAAAACCGCCATTTTGATTTTACAAAATGTCAATACACAGTATCACTCGCACTGCTAGGACGAATCCTAACAAATCCATCAAGTCGTTTGGACTGTAGCTCGTAAAATAATATTTCTTCTTTAAGTTACATGTAAGATACCCACCTGCGTCAAACATTCAATTTTTTACGGCCCTCCAAAGTTGAGGGATGGAAGAGGTTTTTCACAAAAAAATTAATTTAAGATTTTTTGCTGTGTTAAAAAGTGACATAACCATTGCTAAAACTAACCATTCAGCTCATCTCAAAAAAAACATCTAGCCCTTAACCTAATGGTTTAGTTGTAATTGCGATTGAAAGTTCATTATCTCGTTTTTTTTTAGAAATTTCACAAAATTGCAAATTACTGAACTATAAAATTTCGGACCACACATATAGGGGTTCATTCGATATGTTTTGAGGCCCTCTATTACCTGACTTCCGTTGTTCCACTACTAACTCTACACCCTGTATACACATAATACAAAATGGTTGGGTCAAGAACGGTTCGTGGGGTATGGAATTAAGGTAGTTGTTGATATTTTACAATTCTTCAGGGATGTGGGCGTCTCAAAATGTCTAAAATAACATTAATCATTTATCCATAGCATATTTCACAAAAGGGTTTGTTTTTAATCGAAATAAATGGAGCACATTTTTTATATATACAGAGGACTGATTTTGAAAATTGTTAATGGGGGGTTTCTGATGATAAAGGACAAAAATGAATATATTTTTCAATGTATTATGTAGGTGGCCCCAATTACAGCTTGGTTATACCTTATAATCTGGCTATTTTATGCCATAACTTTTCTCCTAGTGTCGTTACATTATTTTTTATAAGAAATACGATAGTGATGATGTTTTTTAAAAGGTACTTCACATTTATTTCGCTTTACGTTGGCTGAACAGCCCCAATGGAATATGCTACGGATAACTACATTCGTTACACATACATTTATTAATGCAAATTTTCCTGAATTGTCAAATATCAATTACCACCTTCATTTTTCATGCGGCTGAAGTTCCGATCAATCACGTTCTGATCGAAACGGTAAAAAGGCAGCAGTGACGAAAATTTGCCATTACCACTTCTACTGACGGAAAATGGCCGATAGGGAGAGATAAAGTAGATTATATTGATGCCAGAAATATGAAAAACTTTTTGGTTTTCGGAAATTTTAATGGATAATAGATTTTTTCAAATTTGCTATGCATAAACAAAGAGGGGGCAAAAACGGGGGGGGGGGGTTCCGGACGTGCTTTCGGAAAATGGCTGATAGGGAGTGATAAACTAGATTATATTGATGCCAGAAATGTAAAAAACTTTTTGGTCTTCGGCTGTTTTGACGAATAATAGATTTTTTCAAATTTGCTATGTATACACAAAGGGGGGTCGAAAGCGGGGATTCCGGACTTGCTTTGGAAAAACGGCTGGTAGGGTGTGATAGAGTATATAGTTATATAGCGAGAGCCCCTCGTATATCTTCCTAATAGCTATAATTATATCTTATCTTAGTAAACAACCCTATGTTATATATTGATGGTTGTGCCCTTCAGGCATCAGTTTAATCTTATTACTCTTGCATTGAACTCACTTAGGTTAGGTTTGCTAACATATCGTTGTTAGTCTAAACATTATATTTATAGTAGAATAAAGTATCAAATCGCTTGTAAGTCGTTTTTAAAAACGCGATTCCGCGACGCGATACCATCATTGGCGCAGCTAGCAGTAGGATCAGAAGACTGGATCAGAACTCAGCAGAGGACTTCCAGGCTGATTTCAATCACTAACTTCTGGAACCGACGAGACCAGGAAGATCAGGAGAAGCCCAAGGACGAAGATTGACGCCAGAGTGCAGTGTCTTCAAAGTCTGAAGGTAATTCAAGTCGAATTTTCCTTGTCTCTCCTCTCACCTTCTTTTTTAATTTAAGATTTTTGGTGCAGTTTTGTAAAATTTAGATTTTGCTGAAGATTGCTCAAAACATTAGTATTAAGTTAGTTCTCGTTCAAGAGCTACATTTTTGAAGAGAACTTAATTTTAGTAAATTTGTCGAGAGCTACATTTTCGATTTAGATTAGTTACTATTTTTTAAATTTTTGCCGGTTGCAAAATTATTAATATTAAGGAAATTTTCACATTAAAATAAGGCTTAGGTAGAATCTCATTAAATTTTATTACATTCGTATTCACTTGGTATTTTCACATTTTTCATACTTTTACATTTTTAATTTTTACACATTTTACATTTTTTATAGACCATAACTTTATGCAAGATTCTAATTCGGCTCTAGATACTATTACAAACTTATTAGAAAACATGTCTCTTAATAACAGTACAATCACCGTTCCAAGCATACACGCCGCAAAAGCTATTGCAGATCTTCTGCCATATTTCGATGGTGATACCCAACAATTGGAATCATTCATCTTTAGATGCGAAAAATTTTATAATAATTATGGTAGGTCAAACGATGCCAGTTTGAACGATTTCGTCTTTAATGCAATTTGTTCAAAACTAAAAAGTAACGTTTACAACTTTTTAATGTGTAGACCAGATCTCATTTCTTGGCCTCTAATTAAAAATGCACTCAGAGAGCATTTCGGTGACAAAATTGACAGACAAACCCTTACGAGAGAATTTCTGCAATTTTCAAAATATAGAAATGAAACCATTTTGGAATTTTTAGGAAGATTAAAATTAATTAAATCAAGAGTTGAAGTTAAAATCCAGACAGATCCTTCACTCACCCCTGATCAGAAAGTTTTACTTATCAGCCAAAATGAATTGAATGCACTAGACGTATTGACCGCAAATTGTGACGATAGACTTAGACTTCTGTTAGACATTCAACAGCCCTCCGACTTATCAGATGCGACCAACGTTGTTACTAAACATTTCTACAATGAGATGAGAATAGATGCACTGACAAAAAGACAGAATTTCGGACATCCTAGCCACTTTCAATCACATTCACATAAACCTAGACGTTACAATTATAATAACTCATCACGCCAAAATTATTACCCATCTCAAAGATACAACCCTTCATACACTCAACCTAATACCACACATATTAATTATCAACAACCACCAGCCATACATGAACAATTTCCTTCTCAGGAGTTTCACGCTCAATATTCACTACAAAATCATTTTACTCAGACACATCAACCTTCCTTCAATGAAAGTAGACAATTTCCATCTCAACCTATTCCATTACCAAAACCCCTTCCAATTAAACAAAACTTCCCGACAAACAGACAGGTATTCGGACCACCTCAGTCCCAACGCTCAACAAATGTTCTTCGCCCCAAAAACTCATATAAACCAGCACATAATCCAGAACCTATGGACACGTCTTCAAGACAATCAAACAGACAAAACCATAATCAGTTTAAACCTTCCGGACCCCGAAACTTCATTTCACAAGAAGTATATCATGCTGAAGAGCCTGAAGTACACTCTCATTCTTCGCAACATACTTATCAATATCCTTCTCAATATCCTTCCCAAAATTTTCCTCAGTATGACCAAGATGACCAAGATGAACCTTACAATAATCAAGAATTATATTCTGAGAATCACAATTATTATCCAAATAACTCTCAAAATCAACATTTTCGAAAAGGATCCTTCGACAGATTTAAGATAGACCTGAACAATATCAATCTAGCCAACTCTCTCCCATATATCCAACTCCGAAAAATCCCAGTAAAATTACTCATAGATACAGGTTGCCACGGTTCCCTCCTTAGACCTTACATCGCCGAAAAGTTTTTCCCAGATCAAATTTTCCATTACAATACGCCCATTTCCACTTGCGCAGGCACAAAGACCAGTCAGTTTAAAGCCTCTATCCCACTACTTGAAGAATTAGGTATTCCCGATGAATTCGAATTTATTCTTTATCCATTTCATGAATACTTCGACGGAATCATTGGAATCCGAGATTTGAGAAAATTAGGATTAACAGTAGATCTCGAAAATCAATTACTCAGAAACCCTACTCTTCAAATCCCATTTCAATTTCGGACTGCTTTTGACATCCAAAAAATAGAAATTCACCCCCTTGACCTACTGACAGACAATCTTTCAACTTTAGGAAACTTTTACAGCTCAGAACCTAACGACATTCTTAACGACGTTTTCCCAAGTCACCCAGAGACCCTACCGACCTTACCAAATGACTTTGGAGACATTTTAGAGACTTTCGATAATCACCAATCTCCGGATGACGATAGTAATACCAATCTTCATCATCAATCATCATCCAATCCTAAACCAAAAATTAAAGTTCTCCAAAACATTCTTATCCGTCCCTCAGAAAAAGTCCGCTCAGACAGTGAGACAGTTCATAGTTCTTTTGAAAATCCGATAATAGAAATCCCATATACAGACAAAGTATTAAACATCCATCAGAACCAAGTTATTTTAGGCATATCACCCTGTAAATTATTTCAATGCCACTTTGAGAAAATTTTCAAAAAGAAAAGGCATACATTTTTAGTTAGGAAAGATTTATTAGATGTAAGCAAAATAAATGAACTAGAAGAAATTTTCGCTAAGCTAATTAATGAGTATATCAGACCTAATCAACACTACTGCGTATATTTTAAGAATTTAGATTTAGAAAAACCATTCATTAATTTTTTACAAAAGTATTTTCAAAATAAAGCATTTACAATGGTTATAAGTAGGAAAATGCTAGAAGACGTAGTCGATATTGATGAACAAAATAATAAAATTAAATTATATCATGAAACCAAAACTAGCCATAGAGGTATAAACGAAAATATTTTAGCGATTAAGAAGAATTTTTATTGGCCTAATTTAGATGTAGACGTTAGAAATTACGTAAATTCCTGCGATATATGTCAGAAATCGAAATACGAAAGGCATCCCAATAGGTTAATCTTTAAACCAACTCCCATAGGATCTAAACCATTTGAACATTTATATATAGATTCTTTTAAAATTTCAAATCAATATTTTGTAACAATTACAGATAGTTTTTCAAAGTTTTCACAGGCATTCCCAGTTAGTTCATTAAATGCAATCGAGACAACTAGTACTATGATCCAATTCTTTTCATTTTTTGGCATTCCTCATAAAATCACATGCGATAATGGTACCGAATGGAAAAATAATATTTTCCAAGATCTTTGTAGTATGTACGACATCTCTCTGCATTATACAACAGCATATAATCCCAATAGTAATAGTCCAGTTGAGAGATTTCATTCCACTATTATAGAAACAATAAGAACCTTAAGAGAGGAAAAACCTCACCAAAATATTAGAGATCTCATGCATTATGCAATTTTATCATACAACAATAGCATTCATTCTTCAACTGACTTTACCCCTTTTCAAATTGCTAAAGGACAGCTAGATTTTAGAAATCCCTTCGAGACAACGACGAACGAACAGATTTCCACATATATGACAGAACATTCCCAAATCCTTAAACTTTTGTCTCAACAACTAACAGAAAAGTTAGAACGTAAACAAAGACAAAATTTAGAAAGAGAAAATAGACTTCGAAATCGTTCTCTTTCGCTTGATGTAAAGCAACCACTTTTTTCATTAAATAATTCCAAAACAAAGAAAGACCAACCACTTTACAAAAAACTGACCGACCCTACAGTTACTGGTTACAATAAAGTTATTTCAAAAAATAAAGTTAAGCATCAAAGACAGCTCAAACCACAACGAAAAATCATTGTTACAGGTAGACATGACAGGAACAAGGCTGCTACACCTACTCCTGATGATAGCTCTGACGATGACGTTTCCCTTTCCCAATTATTCAGTCAAAATCACAAGATTAACAAACCCGATCCTTCCACTTCAGCTAGGTAAAGCATATATCTTAGAAAATCAGCACACATTCTTATATCATATTAATATTAGTACCCCCGTATATATTTTAGATAGCATAGGGCAACATATTTTAAGAACGCAAGTATTTTTGAAACAAAATTCCAATCACTTTTCAATTCAGCTTTTACAAAAATTGGAACATGCTATTGCATTGAAAAATAAAATCGACAATAAATTTGGCATTTTACATAATAAACGCATTAAAAGAGGTTTATTCAATGGTGTTGGTACACTTTCGAAATATTTGTTCGGAACGATGGACTCCGCAGATAAAGAAATCATTAACAATTATTTGGATACTATTAAATCTAATGAGTTGAACTTACAATCTCGCATAAACAAACAACAAACAATATTAAGGGATATTACCGCTCATTATGAGATTACTTTTCAGACCATTAGGGATAACGAGAAAATTATTGTTAGTCATCTAAATGACTTGATCAACAACAATAAAATTTTAAGGGAACAAGATAATGTATTATCACTCAGCCTCACTATAGATAAAATTATTTTGGAATTACAAGCTTTATATGAAATAATTAGCAATTTACAAACAGCCTTATCGTTTGCAAGAATACATATTTTACATTCTGCAATTCTAGACACAAATAGTATTTCCTCAATTTTAAATTATTTATCCAAAGATTATAGTAGCGAAAGAATTCCGAAATTTGATCACGTAATTGACTATTATTCGTTATTTACAACCGATGTAACTATTTTCGATAATATCATTTTATTTAAAATTTATGCACCATTAATCTCGAACTCCTTTCATTATTTTAGTGTTTTTCCTGTTTTTCAATTTAACTATACCCTAATCCCAAAATCCCAATACCTTCTTTTCGACTTGAAAAACCACTGGAACACAGACCACCTTTGCACAGAAGTCGCAAATAAATACTTCTGTAAACACGAAGACTTATTAGAAGCAGATCCATGCCTAGTAGAAATTATCAAAAATGGAAGAAACACTTGTCCCATAACAAGAATACAGCAATCAAGAACTCTGGTACAGCAGATATCTTCATCTAAAGTAATCATATGTCCAAGAGAGCCCACTACAGTGCATTCGTCATGTCCAGAAGACGGCCTGATAGTTATTTCTCAACCAAGTCTCATAGAACTCCAGCGATGCAGCTTAGAAATCAATCAACACAAGTTCTATCCCTCAGATCGCATCGACCATGAAACAATTTTCCCTTTACCAGCTATAAGCCTGACCAATTTCACGAAGCAGAACCTTGTTGATGTAACAAAATTCAACTTGAAGACAATCCAGAATCTTCAAATATCCCAAGAACAAATCAACGAAGACAGTATCCAGTTCCCAGATCGTCCCATAGAGAAGACAAATCTAATCATATTTTTACTTCTTCTATCAACTTTCATTGGTTACATCAATTACCAAATTTTAAAGAAGCTAAGAGAAGCAAGAAGACGTAGAGAAGAAGAAGCAGTTCCGGATTCGCAAACTTTGGATCCCCCGTTTGCTCATCTTCGGCAGGGAGGAGTTATATAGCGAGAGCCCCTCGTATATCTTCCTAATAGCTATAATTATATCTTATCTTAGTAAACAACCCTATGTTATATATTGATGGTTGTGCCCTTCAGGCATCAGTTTAATCTTATTACTCTTGCATTGAACTCACTTAGGTTAGGTTTGCTAACATATCGTTGTTAGTCTAAACATTATATTTATAGTAGAATAAAGTATCAAATCGCTTGTAAGTCGTTTTTAAAAACGCGATTCCGCGACGCGATACCATCATTATATTATATTGATGCCAGAAATGTAAAAAACTTTTTTGTCTTCGGCTGTTTTAACGAATAATAGATTTTTTCAGATTTGTCATGTATAAATAAAGAGGGGTCCAAAACGGAGGGTTCCGGACCTGGGTTGGGAAAACGGCTGATATGGTGTGATTGACTAGGTCATATTCATGCGAGCAGTGTCCAAAACATTTTGGTCTTGGGCAGTTTTGAAAAGCTATAGACGATTATATAGCTTCTAAAATATTAGGTTTTAATGGGGGGTCAATTTGGGGTATGTGTGAACGACATAGCACGGATTTGAACTTAGCGTAAGTAAAATATGCTTTTTCTAATCAATTTACGTGGAAACCGCATTTCTCCAGGTTTATTTTAATGTAATATCAATTTTTTCGCGTTTCTCCTCATTTTGAGGAAGATTTTGGAGAAGGGAGATAAAACTTTTACAATACATAGAAAACCATTAATACAATCGAACTACGTGAAAACCGCATCGATTTATGTTTATTTGGACCCAAATTACGTCAGTAGAGGTGGTAATGGCAAATTTTCGTCACTGCTGCCTTTTTGACCGTTTCGATCAGAATGTGATCGATCAGAACTTCAGCCGCATCTCATTTCAGTCGGACTGTCTTTCTATGTCTAATCTTATAACCGCCTATAACTTGAGAAGTACCGCTCAAATTTCGATGAAACGCAAAAGTTTTGTAGTTTTTGAAAATCGTTTAGTGGCGGCGGAGAAAAGGGCCAAAAAAAAATAGTCGCTCAAACTTTGTTTTTTGATGTTTTAGACGATCCTGATCATTTTCAGAAAAATTTGTGTAGGGGTTAAAAATTGGGGGTTAGGGGTTGCAAGGGTTGGGGTTGGATATATCTCAATTTTTTGACGTTGGTATATTTATACGCTTCCAACCCCAGTAATTTCACGCACATAATAGTCATATTTCACTAATCATGGAATTCACCGTACATTTACCCTTGAAATATTCCATACAGTCGGGTGTCTATATGTGCGACGTCATCCCCTGACTTACAGTCAGCAATCGCTTCCACACTATCCATCATGTGCGTCAGCAGAAATTCCTCTCAGGAGGAGGAGGAAGGTTAATTAATTTTTTGTTGTACATGTTCGTGGCTAACTTGTTTCTCAGAAAGGTTAACTTGTGACAAACATAATCCTTTATGAACTGATATCAGCGTAGCGTGGGCAGTACAGAGTCAACTTACTTGCTCCACCGCCACTGGACCGATTTTCAAACTTTACAAAGTTTTTTATCATTGTCACAGTAGTAAGCTTGTTTGACAACAGCATCCAAATCCCATTACATGTTATAGTCAGACCGATAGAAATGAGTGACATAGTTTATCGTGATGAAGGTCCATGTCATATAACATCCAAAAAACATAACTTATTTTCGAAGTTTTTCGCGATCACAATAATTTCTCGTCAGTAAATAAAATCGGAAGAAAAAGCGTCACTGAGTCACCACCTCTTGGTGATTACCAGTTGCCTTCGCCTCCCGACTTGCGCGTTCACCCCTGAAAATCAAACGTGTTTGATACCGAGCATAAACGGAAGTGGACTTGCCTCTTTCCCGATGACGTCAGAGGCAAACTCACAACACCTCGTTCAGACAGAGAAAATTCCGCGAACGCGCGTATCACGATAGCGTGAGAACCTAGAATTTTATTGTAGGATTTTTTTTGGCGCATTGACTACAGACAACTCTGTAATAGAGTTTCGGGGTTGCATTTCGACGATCATATTTTCAAAATGTGCTCTTTATTTATTTATCTGGTACTGGAAATGTTTATAAACACACCGAATTATAATTTGACTCTTTAATACAGATCATGAATGAAATCTAAATTGAAAATTAACAGAAATCTTACCTTAATCTTTGAATGAATATAACAAAAAAGTTGCATTGTCAATAAAATACACCTATACGGTCCAGAATTCCATTTTTTTTTTCTAAAACTCTCCAAACATTATTTTGCAACAACTCTCGTATATCCTCGATCTCGAATGAAGCAGTAAATTTCCGATTAAATCTGACCTAATAAAAGAAAGGAAAAACGCACTGACATTGAACAACTCTGTAATCGTGATCATGACCTGCCTAGCCTCGTACATGGCCTAAAACTGACTCAAAAAGCAACAATATTGATTGACTTTAATTAAATTTAAAACCATGTAAGATTTATTAGTATAATCATAGATGGTTTCTGCGAGTTTCATACCATATTATATTTCTTTCTTCATTGTGTAATGTGCATGACTTTACCTAAGTATTTAATGCTTAGAACTCATTTTGATTTCGTTTCCATTACAAGATGCACCGCATCATGTGCTAGACGTTTGCACAGTCTGCAACATGTTGGGACAAGCTTCGTTGACATTTCAGTTTGCAACATGTGCTTGACACTATTGTACGGACAAAATGTTACAGATATCGAAGAAACTGTGCCGGGCGCATGTTGCGCAACGTACGAGGTGTGTAAATTAAGTGATGTGACTGCTTTTTTATTTTTTTTTTGTCCAAATATAATTACAATTTTATATTGCACACTCTCAAAATACCTTTCGCATAGCCACACGGCGCTGAAGATGGTTCTTCTTCCACTCATCATAGCATTGCTGGAACTCCGATACTGGAATAGACTTCTGTCGATATTTTCATGGGGTCTTGAAGATGAAGGCCTTCCGCTTCGTGGTTCATCTTCAATACACTCTCTTTTCTGAAACCACCGAAAAACCTGGGCTCTTGACAAAACACTATATCTCTAGGCCTGCTGAAGTTTAGCAAGAGCTTCCGTTGCATGTGCCCAAGTCTGAAGCAAAACCTGATAGCACACCGTTGCTCGGAATTGATGTCATTCGTTTTCAGATCACAATAGGAAAAACTGTTTTGCAGAAAAAAATTGCTACGGACAAAGAAATTAGTCGAGCGAGTTCAAACTTGTTTCGAAGGCGGATCACATCTTTCCCTGTCTATCCTCCAAGCTCGGCGCCTACAGTGTTGCCAGATCGAACGCGACGTTGCCAGTCTCATCACTTAATTTACAGACCTCGTATGTCAGACGTTCTGACAATCTGCTACAAGTTGCGGCACATGTGCATTTTCCATTTAAACAAGCTGCAGGCACATGTTTAATTGGAAAAGTACCTGCTCTCCCTTCATCCCTTCATGCTGCTATTAGGCTAGTTGACACTTTTTTTTAAGTAGGTCTTGAATAGTTAACATTTGTTTTATTAGACAAAAAAGAATAGATACTATATTTACTTGTCACCTAAAAAGTTGTTAAACTTGAATTTAAAAATACATTTCTCTTATACAGGCGATACCGCTGTTAGCTAACTAACAAAATGCCCCTTAGAAAGATTCGAAGTACTTCCGGAGAGAGATGAAAAAAAACGGAATTTTTCCTCAATCGTTTTAGTTTTGCCTGAATTTATTTGTAGTGGGATTTAAAAATAAATTGCACGTTAACACTGAGACTTTTTCCCCTCTACAATAAGGCATAATCAGAATTTCAAAATGATGGTGCGTCTTTCGTCCTCCACCATCAACTTTATTTTTTGTTATGGACGCCATATTGTATTTTTGCACAGATGAATAGTGTAATTCTTATTCCAAAAATGTATAACGTGTTGTACATTGACATTGCCAAACCTTAGTTATATCAAGAAAACAATTTCCTAGGGAGGTTTTGAAATTATGGTAGTAGACGAGAAAAGTGGCAATGAGAACACGTAATTTATTTCGGAAATCAAAAGAATACAGGAAAAAATAAATATGTGAAAAATCTGGTGAAGGAAACTAATGACTAATCTGTTAATTTCAATGCCTACCTAGGAAATACTATTTCTTTGAAATAACTAAGGTTTGGCAATGTCCAGGTATTATATAATTTTGGAATAAGAATTAAAAACACTATCTATGGAATAATAAAATATGGCGTCTATTAGAAACAATAAAGTTGATGCTGGAGGACAAGAAACGAAACGTCATATTGAAATTCTAATTTCACCACCTTGTCGTGGAGAAAATGCGAGAATGTTAATGTGCAATTTATTTTAAAATCCCACTCCACAAGCTAGTAAAACGTAAAACGAATTTGGCAGAATTTGGATTTTCCGTCTCTCCATGGGAGTACTTTGCATTTCAAAACTTTCTAAGCGGCATCTTGTTAGTTACCTAAATACGCAACTTTGCCCCGATTTAGGTCACTTCGTATCTCTTTCCGTTTTCGAGATCCCAATGGTGAGGGTCGAATTTTAAACACTTGGCATATATAGCTAACATCCGTCATTTGTGATGACCAAATTTACAGTAGAGTAATTCCTGCCATCTTCTTTTCATCCGTCTATATAAGGGTTACCCAAGAGGTACAATGTATCCTAACAGTTAATTAATCGGTTATAATTCGCTCAATACATCGTTTGGAAATATTGACGGTTTCTTCTGTCTGTATTTGATTCGCTTGTCTTTGTTTCGGTAACCACTTCCAATCGCAGGCCTGAAGATTAATCGTTTTCTAAACGATATAAACCACATTTGAAATATAAGTACCATCTATAGATAGTCCTCAAGGATGGATTATTTTCACCAGATACATTTTTCATTTCTTCGTCACATTATTTAGTTGAATGATTATGGCAAACATGATGGTACGGTAATGAAGAACGACTCCATAGCGAAACTAAAAAAACTACTCATTTATTTGTATCAACAGTTGAACGTGCTTGGGCTAATCATTGCAGGTACTTTCTAAAATTGTAAACACTATCTAGCTGCGTTGTAATTAATTTTATCTGCTACTGAAATGCTATTTTTTTCTTCTAGGACCAGTATGACAACCTTTCCATGCATACGTTGAAAGGAATCGACTTTTTAGAAAAATATGGACAGTTTGTGAAAGACAGAGCTACAATAGAATGTGAATATGCTTCCAAGTTGAGGTAAGTTTAATTTAAGCAGAATCGTAAAACTGGCCTAATAATATTGTAATACCCTGAATAGCACGTTATGCCACAGTTTGAGTTCTGTCATGTCTTAATTTTTCAAGAAATTGATCTTTACATCTTACTAGGGTATAAAACCCAGTGCGTAGGGGTAGGTTAAAAGTTAAGTAAGTGTTGTGAGTCTTTGAGCGAACAAAACGTCAAAAGCGAGCAGGATTTCATTCCAATTGTGCAAAGAAGAGGCCTTGCATTCAGTCATCCATTATTTTTTCCATCAGTGGTATTGATTGCTTTACATTTACATTACTGCAGTCTGTGAGTCTTTCTGAGAATGGGAAGCATTTTTCTCATAATAACTTGTAATCATTATAAGGCATCCGTAGTTTCATTGTTTGAACGTAGACAGGAAAAACGAAAAGGACTGTAAAAAGGCAATCGTAGCGTTCTCACGCAAGCTCCAAGATATCCATTAAGTATGTTTCATTATCTACAGGTAGGATAATTGACGATAGAGGTAAAAAGGGAAGCATCCAAACACTTTGTATACAAATTTTCAACAGTTTACCTTTTGTAACCTACACATCCTTTTCTACAACTACAATTTTAATATGTCATTGACAAATTGACATTCCGGGGCACTCAAATTCTTAATAGCCTCTAATTACATCTTTATTGTGACGTTTGCATTTTTCATTTTGCCCAGTTTTATTGCTTGCTCTTGTAACTTTTTTAAGATTAGCAACAGATCATGGAATTAAAAAAAAAACGCAGAGAATTCAAATTCTTAATAGGGCACTTAATTATCTTTTCATTATCATGTAAAAAGCATCCGCAAAAAGTGTGGTTTATAACTTCATGAAAACAGAAGTTATTCGTAGAACCTATAAATGGTCTATTCTATCCGCTATATTCGAAGTGGGTGGAGAGGACCCTCAAATGATTGAAGCGCGCGATGTTTAAGAAATGTGAAATAACTCTCTATTGGGGACCATCCGTTTCTGATGGAAACACAACCCAAAAATAGTGTCTGTCTCCAGCGCTGTGTGGCTTCAGAAGGAAGTTATTTTGATGGTGACAATTTTAAAATTGTAATTATATTTGAATAAAAAAATTAAAGAAAATCAGACATCACTTAATTTATAGACTTCGTATTTACGGTATTTGTGTAGCTTATTTTTTATGTACAAGGTATTACTACTACATATTTATACATCTAGTCAAGTTTATGGAGCAGTTACCATACCAGTTTAAACTGAAACCACATTGTACTGCCTGTACTCAAATGTGCATAAGGATAGTTTTGGTTTAGTCCTTCCCAAATTAAAATCGGTCTCGCCACCACAGCCTGCAGTTGAGTATTCGTGATGTGATTGCCTTGAGATAGCGATGCTATTAGGTAGTCATTCGAAACTGGAGCGGCTTGGGGCCTCGCGTTGCCTATCTTCAACAAATATGTAGGTTGTATCTTGTCTTACAAATGTGCTTCTCTTGTAATAGAAAGAACTGAAAAGTATATCAAATATCAATGTTTCAGAAATGTAGTCTCAAGGTATGGTTGCAATCCCTAAATCAGTATTACAGGTGAATTTTACAGAGAGCGCAATCTTCTCCATGTTTAGCCAATTTAATTCCTTCAATTTGTGTGAAACGTGCTCATACTTTTTAATTCCATATATGAATCGAGTGCATAAGTTCTATACACGTTGAATACGATTAAGGCAGTTTTGAT